TTTCTTTCTTTCTTTCTTTCTTTCTTTCTTTCTTTCTTTCTTTCTTTCTTTCTTTCTTTCTTTCTTTCTTTCCTTCCTTCCTTCCTTCCTTCCTTCCTTCCTTCCTTCCTTCCTTCCTTCCTTCCTTGTTCTAAGAAATTCTTATTTCTTTGTACATCAAGTCATCTATCTGGACAGAAAATATGGACTAGCAATTTGGACGATCTTCCGGTTTGATATTTGAATGGCTTTTTTTTTTTTCATGCCACAATTTCGTTGTCTGCTTTTTTAAAAACAAAAAAGTATTACCATATTTGTACATTGTTTTGGAAGGGTTTAGATTTCAAGGAATGGTTTGGAAGCCTTTGAAAGAAATGAAAAGATTTGGAAAGCTAACTGGGTGGTTTTTTTGTTTTTGTTTTAACCCCCTTCCGGCATCATTCTCCAAAGTCAGCGTTTTCAAGGATGGCTACTGCTTTTTCTTTCTTTCTTTCTTTCTTTCTTCGATCGCAGCTCTCCATAGATGGATCCTTCCCACCCCACAACCCCCCCCTCGCCCTACAAGTTTTCATCAGCAATGTCAACATTTTTAATAAAAGCCGAAGCTGTTCCTTGCATTTCAGTATTATTGAAATAAATTGCTGGTTTGGAGAAAAGGGACGGGAGAGGGGAGAGAATTGGAAAAGCTGGTTTCAAACGCCCATTTATCATTTACAATAAATGATGATTTATAATAAAACAGCTTTACTTTCATCTCGCTTGAAGGGTGCCAGATGTTGGGATGTAAAGATGTGAAAAATTGCTCAGTTTTCTCCTTTGTTTTTCAATTATTCATACCCTTGGGAAAGGTTTGGGGTTTTTTTTTTAATTTGTTTTTTTTTTGCATCCAATCTTTCTGTCCTGGGATGTGAGGCTGGAGTGATGAAATTTGGGCTAGCCGATCCATAACCTGGCTGTGAGTTCTCCTAAATTCACATTTCAGCTGCACGGGACAATATGTAATCAAAAGTGCAAAATTGAAGCTATGGAAGAGATCCGCTTTGCACGGAAGCAGCCCCAGACTTCCCAAAAAACCATGTTTTTTTCTTAAAAAAAAAGCCCTCCTGAAATTTTCTACCTTCATCATCTAATGTTTATTCCATATAGCCTTTGTCAAGCTTGCTGTGCCTTAGGAAGATACCTGCATTGGGCAC